ACTCACAAATGATATTTGTCCCTTTCCTTAACCATGCCACTTGCTCATCGGATCAGTTTTACAGTACACTCCCAGTACATACCCACATGTAATAACATCAATCTCAACATTTAAGGTTTTTTTTTTTTTTTTTTTTTTTTAAATTTATTATTATTATTATTATTATTATTATTATTATTATTATTATTATTATTTTATAGTTTCTTTTATAGAGAGGCCGAATTGAAGGAGAAAGAGAGAATTTTTTTTTTTTAAAAAAAAAACAAAAGTTTGGTAAGTCTTTAAACACGTCCGTTTGGTAATATTAGTGCATGAAACTTATATCAACACCATTTTTTTTTCACGTGAATCCATAAAAAATACACCTTTATAGGTCATACTCTTTTCTTCTCTCTCCACTCTTACAATAAACTTTGAATAAGTCTTGCGTACTGTCTTACATGAGACATAAAATAATTTTTAATCAAAATATAATACGTTAATTTTCATAAGACCATAGAATATTATTATAGTTTAGCTAACAAGTATTACACATCTAATATGAAATGGTTTCACACAAATCCTACTAAGAAATTATTTATTAATTTATATTTGATTTACAGAAAAATATGTAACTTGATAAACCGATTTAGGGCGTCAATAACTGATAAATTCCGACTCAAACCAATAGCTAATAGACAGCTCTAACATGAAATTTAGCTAACTAGTAACTACCCGATTAATTAGGTTGGTTGCCCCATTTATTAGTTTATATCTAAAGTGACTAGTAATTAGTAATTATTATTATTATAAAGATTCGAATCCCCTTTCAAAAAAATAAAAGAAAAGAGTTGCGAATCCAGCCGTTTTTTAAATAGTAAAATTAATTATTTACTTTATGAAGGCATCGATTAAACTTTACTGGACATGCACCTAGACATATGTGATATAATCTGAATTGGGATTTTCTCGATTTTGGAGAAAATATGTAGTAACAGCTAAATATTATAATTTTTATATTTGTTAGTAATTTAGAAATTGCAACAAATGAATTGACTAATTAAAATGGAGCCATATCAAATCAAATGATATAAGATTTGGTATACAAAAATTGATTTGTGTATCGTTATTTCTTTTTGTAATCAATAGTCACACGCCATCGGGTTAGCGGCTCTGGACGCAAACCAATATAATTAAGGACAAATATTTAATACATTATCGGGTGTATAAATACTATACACACTAGTAGTAAAAAAGAAAGTGTCACATCATTAAATAAAAAAGGATAATATTGACCAAATCTTTTCTTACAAATTACTTTCTAAATTATTATGTATTTTATTAGGAAATTCTTTATTTCTAATTAACAAAATTCATCTAATTTCCATAACATATTTATTATTTATTACCTATCTAATTTTCTAAACAAATTTATTACTTATATAATAATTTGAACGGTTCATTCATATAACAAAAATTATCTACCATAAGCATTATTTCAAGTACAATGAATGAATTGATTAGCAATCTCAACCATAAACATTATTCACACGGTACATTGATACTTTATATCTATTTTATTCAATATATAATACTTTCTAAATTATTATATTTGTAAAATTTATTATTTTCTAAATTATTATATTATAATTAAAAATTCTTTATTTTTAATTAACAAAAGCTATCTAATTTCCTATATCTATCTAAACATCTAAATTCAATATATATTACTTTCTAAATTATTATATTGACATTTAAGAAAAATGATGTGACATCTTCTCCGACGGTGTATATCATATACAGGGACGGAGCCAAGAATTTTGTTGGGGGGGGGGGGGGGGAGGCGCAATAGGGACCGATTCACAAATTCTTTTTCAGTAAAGGCGAAACATTAAAATAAAAGAGATATTTAAAAATAAATAAATAAATTACCTAAGAAATATAGGTGTAAATATTATTGGATATGGGCGAAAAATAAAACAAATCGAAACTTTATAAAAATATTCATAACAAAATATGAAACATAATTAATTTGATAAAATAATTTGAATATATATATATATATATATATATATATATATATATATATGTGTGTGTGTGTGTGTGTGTGTGTGTGTGTGTGTGTGTGTGTGTGTGTGTGTGTGTGTGTGTGTGTGTATGTATATGTGTATCAAATATTAAAAAAACTATTAAAACGTGATTGTGTTAGAGTCACAGGGAAGGAACCAAAAAACTATATGATTCAAACGCCTAACCTTTATTATAACCAAATGCATGCTCTACCAACTATTTTAACTCATTTCTTATGAACAATTAACAATTTTTATATACTAATACTTAAAAATGTACTATATACACATATATACATACAAAAATTATATATGGAGCAGGGGTAGGGGTGGAGGTGGGGTGAGGGGGGCAGCTGACCCTCCCCCCCCCCCCCCCCCTTTGGCTCCGTCTATGATCATATATACATAAGCAATGCATCAAATATTAATTCTTAAATTAAATAGCATTCATTCAACCGAAATTAACATACCTTAATCTATATATATATATATATATATATATATATATATGACTTAATTAAATCTCAATTGATAAATTAAAATACTCCAACAAGTGAGATCTCGAAAAAAACATTTTTAACATATTATAATACTAATGGTATAAAAAGTTAGTTTTGTACTCACCACTTGATCACCTAATAAAATTATGTGCCACAGGCAAGATATCCAAGTAATTAATACAAAACACTGCCTCACATCCCACAACTAACCAGGTTTTGATGTGAGGTACGTAGGATAGGATTCATGGTCCATAGCTAGTTAGCAAGTTTTGAATGTTTGATGGATATTTTATAAGATAGGTGTCACATTATTAATGTTGAGATATGGTGCATAATCATTAATCAATTAATGCCTATGGATCAAACGAGATACTTATGAATAAATGATCTTTAACTCCACTTCTAACGAGAAGAAGCCAACTAGAGAAACATACCCACACTTCTTTCAATTTGGTCGTCATAAAATTAAAGGTCCACCAATAAGACATCACATATTTTGGTCTCTAAAATAATTGCATCGCATGTGCAATCAAACGTTGGAACACCCACATATATATAAGGTCTGGTTCTAATGCGGCACGCTTCTCAGGTGCAGACGTGCAGATTCATATATGATCCATCCATCTAAATATGATCAACAATTGAAAATCAATAAAAATGAAAAAATACGGTGATATTTTAATAATTTTCTACAATGTTGGTGCATTAAGATGTAATTGATGGTGCATTCGCACATAACTCAAAGTGCATTAAAAAATACTTGATGGTGCATTTACAAATGTTTGACAGTGCATTTAAAAACGCTTGTGATAACATGGGGGAGAAGCATTTGGAAATGCTCTAAGTCTAAATGCACCGTCAAGAATTTCTAAATGTTCCTCCCCATATCATCACAAAAGTTTCTATATGCACTATCAAGCGTTTTCAAATGCACCTTCAAGCATCCTCAAACGCATTTTTAATCATTTCCCACTGTACCGTCAATCCAATTGTAATTTTATAAAATTACAAAAATGTCATCACATTTTTTTTCTTATTCTCATTGAATTTCAGCCTTTGATAATGTTTTAGATGGACTGACCAAATGTATCCACACGGTCGCACCTGGGAAGCCTGTCGCATTTGATCCTATATATTGTAAATAACTAATGTGCAACTATCAACAAGTGAGAGCATATTCCTAGGTAAAAAGTGAGTATTGATATAATCCATCCATTTGGTTATATCAACATTTGAGAGTTGCTGATTTTTTTTTAAAGAGTGGACAGTTTTATAAATATTGTAAACTTCAAAGTTTATAATGATTATAAATAAGGAAGAAAAAAATAAAAAGAGTGACCAGTTTTATAAATATTGTAAACTTCAAAGTTTATAATAATTATAAATAAGGAAGAAAAAAAAGAGTGACTAGTTTTATAAATATTGTAAACTTCAAAGTTTATAATAATTATAAAATTGATAAGTATTTTTTTTACTAAAATTCTTAAACACTGATGAATCCGGATGAGTGGCTTAAATCAATTCTCACTTTGCCCGCATGGGCAGCTCAACTGGTCATAGGGGTGAAATTTAGGATCGAGTCTCACATGCGGCAGTGTGGGAGCAACCTCTCAAAGTGAGGGGGGCTCCTTGTCCGCAGTAAGCAAAGGTCTAGCCGGTTCAGTTGAGTTATCATGATTTATATCATCCCAGATGCTCTGTTGAGTGGGGTCGGAGATTCAACCTTTTAGAAAGAAAAAAATTAATTCTCACTTTTTAATAGGTGTGATTGTTCACATTTAAACCCATCATATATATATAGACACACATATACATACATATATGTTGTTCTTTTGCTCTCAATTATAAGAAACTCACAAGTCACAACCATTCCATAGCCCTCCCTCCCACAATTATTCTTGTCAAAATCAAACTATTAGTTGATGTTTTTCACAACTACATGATCGATCTTTGTTATTATACGCATATTTAGTGTCAATAATTTTAGATTATATTTGATCAAAACTTGTTCACATTTCAAGATTTGAAATAATTCATCAAATTATTAAGCATAATTGAAACCCATCATTTCATGCATCGTTACAAAATATATCAAATAGTTTATTAGAGATGATAATAAATAATACAATAGTATTCTAATTATGCAATTAAAAGTTTATAAGATAAAATTTTAATTTTAATCGAGAAAAATATCTTGAATGTTAAGCAATCAAGTGTCACTTTCAGAAATAGATTGGCATGAATATGAATAGGAGAGGTAAAATTATTGAGATATTTTATTTTATTTTTTACAAAAATGATAAAAGAGGATGAAGAATTGAAGAGAGAGTAGAGAGTCAAACACAAGTGTCACTTTTATTCTTTTGTCTTTTATCTTTTTTGTTTGTTTATTTACTTGGTTTAGAACCTCACGCGCTGGGGGAGCGAGTGAATAGCCGCCACTGCCTCTTTCGGAGAGCTAAAAGGTTAAAACGACAAGCATCGTCGTGTATGCGACTAACCAAACACAACCTCAGATCGGATCCCCCAAAAATGTCTTCTCTCCGCCGTATCACCGCGGCGCCGTCGCAGGCGGCGGCGCTGGATTACCAGGACCCGCAGTCGCACCCCTTCCACTGGCACTACTCCGAGTTCGACGACAGTAACTTCCAAATCCGCGGCCGCACGCTCTTCTTCATCGTCGTCCTCTTCGCCATCATCCTCTTAATCACCTTCGTTGTCCTCTACGCGCGCTGGGTCTGCCGCTTCCGCCCCCGCCCGATTCAGTCCGCCCACGCGCCGCAGCTCGTCCCGCCGCCGCCGCCGCGCGGCCTCGATCCCTGCGTCATCGACGGCATCCCGATCACGCTCCACCGCTCCTCCGGAAACGGCGGCGGAGAAGCGGAGTGCTGCATCTGTCTCGGGATTTTTCAGGACGGCGATAAGGTTAAGTCTCTTCCTCAGTGCCGCCACTGCTTTCACTCCGAGTGTGTCGATAAGTGGCTCAGAACTCAGTCGAATTGCCCTCTGTGTCGCACTTCCCTCCGGTTCGACTCACCTGTGTGACTCACTCCCATCCGAGTTTACTCTAAGCAGTAAGCTCCTTTAATTTCGTCTTTTTGTTTTCAATTAGAAAAAAAAAAATTGCATTTTTTATATTCGTGTTACGGTCTTAGTCTTGAGTTATGAGCGTAATCATTTTAATCTTTAAGTTATGCTCGATTTGAAGATTTTAGTCTTTCGCAACTATTTCTTATCACTTAATAAAGTGACTGATTTGATCATTCAGAAATTAAAATTGTCATTTTGGACAAAAGTTAAGGATCAAAAGATGATCGTGCATGTAACACGGGACTAAGTCTATAAAACGAATATAATTGGAGTACCAGAAATGTAATTTTTTCTATAATTAATTTTTTTTTTTTTTATTTTCAACAGCGTTGATTTTTTGTTGCCAACTCAAAAATGGGTTCTGTACTTCTGTAAATTCTCCTAAGAATTCTTAATCTTTTTTTTTTTTTTTGAATTTTGGGAAAAATCAAGAGCTGCATACTCTGTAACAATGGTGTATGTACAAATCCACTTTATTCCAAGCGTGGCCCTATAATCCTAATAGATTATTGAGTACAATGTTGTTGATGCAAAATCGTAATATTTAGTTTGCAATTATAAATTTGTACTTTATACCAAGTTGTTGGGTTTGGTTTTGTGTTTCCATCAATCATTAAACTAAGCTAGCATGCTGCAAAACACGCATTTTTAGAGATAGATGATGACGACGGCGGCGGTTTAAAGAAAGTATCACATTCGTGTGATACTATCTACGAATTGTTATGCTGTGGAACTGTGTCTATTTTGTAAGATGCAAAGTGGACTATGTTCTATATTCATAATTACTGAATTATATTTCAAAATTATAAAGGTATATATTCATAATTTTTACTTTATATTCATAATTATTGAACTCTATATCCACAATTACAGAACTCTATGCTTATAATTACTGAACTATATGTTCATAATTATAAAGCTATATATTCATAATTTTAAACTTCATATTCACAATTATTGAATCTCTATCTCTATATTCATAATTACATAACTATATGTTTATAATGTTTGAACCTATATATTCATAATTATGAAAGGTGAACACGATTCCATAGCATTTTTCTATTGCAATGTAGTTTTTGTTCATATACTTTTTCAACCTACTGAGCCACTGAGCCAATAACGCCTCCACTGAGGCTCAAACTCATAATCTTCCAAATGAAAGTCCAACCCGGGTACCATTAGACCATATAGTCTTGGTACGATTTCACAGCATAATTTGCCACATTTGTGTGTATAAGACTATAAGTATTACATTTTCATTTTAATCTAATCCGACTCGACCCATCTTACAGTGAAATAGTCTCACACAAATTGTTGACTTAAAAGCAAAAGTGTTCAATGATTAGTCTTTACTTTGATTCTCTAATGCAAAAATAGAAGACAAAATTAAATAAATATTAATATGTATTACCACCGCATATATTTTGATTATTGATTAAATGGCATATATTTTAATGAATTCTATTACATGTATAGTTGTTAACCTTTTTTTTCTCTTTGATAGTTTGATTTATAGAAAAGTTTGTCATCCTTATTTGAATGCATGTTTGAGTAAAATTTAATTTTTGTTATTTATGTAAAAAACTTATAATTACCACTTGAATGTGTGTTCTGGGTGGAATATATCATGTGGCCTTACCCGGCAAATAATCACAATGAGGTAAATTAATTTATATTTTTCATAAATGACCGTCTCAATTGAAAAATTCAACTTTAATAGGTAAAATATTATTAAGAAAGTAAACCTTTTTTTAGTACATTAAAGAAGTAAACCAATTTAACTTTCTTATAACTGACTAGCTCAAACCGAAAAGGTTAATAGACAGCTCTTAACTTGATTGGGTTAACTCTTTCTTTTTTGTTTCTTTTGAGGATAGAGTATATATACTAAATGAGTTTAATTTTAAAAAAAAAAAAAAAAATCCACTCCTCCAAATTACAAAATATGTCTATGTTCAAGAAAATGAAATTTCATTTCTCATAAAATTGAATTATTTCTGTTATTACTAGGACTATGTGGTCTAATGGTACCCGGGTTAGACTTCCATTTGGAAGATTATGAGTTCAAGCCTCAGTGAAGGCGTTATTGGTTCTTTGTGTTTCAGTAGGTTGAGAAAGTATATGAACAGATACTACAATGTAATAGAGCCAGTAACTTCCAAAAAAAAAAGAATTATTTCTGTTATTAGTAAATGCATTTCAAATATTTGAAAGGAGAAATCATCAATTGACTAAAAGGTCGAAGAGGCGTCAAATAGTTGTCCGAGTTGTGTGTGAAACTCTCCACTTGTGAAAGGGATAAGACTATTGATTCTTTTATAAGTAATGATTTCTTTTTTCTTTGTTTTTTTAAATGAATACATTTGAGGCCTTTATTTTACGGAGTATTAAAATTGAATAAAATTTGACAATTAAACAAATATTAAACAGGTTACTAATATCTACATTTTTTAAATTTGAATCACGAGAAAAGAGACACGCGTGTCTTTACATAATTTTATCAACACCTTATGAGTATTATAATCTAATACATTTAAACACATATTTTTCACATATTATAGCAACCTTTTATTTAATTCGAAACTGTTTAGGGTGTGATACCAACATTAGATTCGAACTAATAACCATCCATGAGCACCAACACTTCATTCTAGAAACTACTCGAAATATGTTACGAAGACATTGATCGTGCAAATGTGTTCACATATTCGTCAAGAAGCTAAAGATTGTATGAAGTAGATGGCCTCAATTGGTCAGGATTTGAAGAGGTTATATGAATTCTCTGAACCCTAAACGAGAGTTTGATCTCTCCTTACAACGAGCCTCGGAGGAGTTGGTTAGCCTCACTTTATGTAGTTGTTAGATTATTAATTGTTTTTTTCTCTAATATAAAAAAGGTGAGTTTTGCAAATGGTTTGTGATATATATATTAATAATAAAGTGTGAAATAGTGGGCCAATTGATGCAGGTAGATTAGTTATGATTGAGAGTTTTAGGCTTTTTACAACATAAGATGATAACACTAAAGTGGGCAATTGGGCATATATATATATATATATATATATATATATATATATATATATAATATATCACCTCCACCATCCAGCAATAAATAGCTATACCCAAGTATGATTGGCTTTTGAGTTCCCTGTCAAGTCATGAATCATCTTCGTATCAACTAGAATTTGCCTGTCTCTAAAGGATGGGATAGCTTTAAGATTATCCATGGCCAGAATTTGGGTATGTAGGCAGTGTAAAGGTCATATATATATATATATATATATATATTGTTAACGTGGGCGGTGCACTATATAAATTATTAAATTCTTACATAAAATACATTATTGAGTTTTAATTTGGCAGGAGATAAATTCTTTATGAATTTTATGGATGACTTAGGCCTGTTGGTAAAGTTAGTTTATAAGTTAATTTTGGTTTATTTCATTATTATTAATTGTTTAACTTGGTTAAAATTAATATGAAATTTTAATTAATTTTTTGTAATAATTTATTGTTTCAAAATGCTAAAATTTAAAAAGCTATTCAAAAGTAGCTTTTTCGATCAGTTTTTTGAAAAAATTATTTTATATGTAATCAGTTAATATATAATTAATTTATCAAATATTTTTTTACAATCAGTTAATGCTATCAGCTAGTCAAACCCACTAACCCAATCAGCCAACAGCTATTTACCAAACACTCCTTTACAGCATGTTTGGTTCACGGAATGGAATAGGCAAGGAATAGAATATGAATTGTATTATATTGTTTGGTTCGCGGAAGGAATAGACTTTAGGTATTATATTACAGTGTTTGGTTGGTTTAAGGAATAGAAATGAAATATGTTTTAAAAGACATAAATACCTATATAAAAATATGTAGTGGTGGTGGCGACAGTGGCAGTGGCGATGATGGCGGGGTGGTGGTGGTGGTATCGGTGGTGGGGTGGCGGTGATGGCGGTGGTGGCAGTCGTGGTGAAATAGGAAATAAATTTAATTAGGGATAAAATAAGAAATATATAAATGTGTGTATGTGTGTGTATATATATATATATATATATATATATATATATATATATATATATAACCATGTATATAAGGGTATTTTTGGTATTTGTAATATAAAAATTATTCCCCTTGCAAAGGGAATAGGTCATTCTTAGGAATAGTATTCCCATGACAAAGTGACGAACCAAACAATGGAATAGGTCTATTCCAAAAAATGTCAATTCATTCCTGACCTATTCTATGAACCAAACATGCTATTAGTATATTATTTCTATGTGCGGAGGCCTGGGTATTAGAGTTCATTGTATTAGCATTTAAATTTTTAATTATAATAATTTATTGGTTAGTTGATATTTGTATATTTCTCATCTTGAAAGGAAAAAGATAATCGTTCCATAGATATTTTAAGAAAATATCTAATAATGTCAATAACATCAAAGAAAAGAAGTGGTTGAATCTCAATTGGTGGGGATTTCAAAATAAGAAAGTGTAATGGTAAGTAGATATCTTATAACTCTAATCCAGAGATGATGAAGACCTCTTATGGCTTCAATGAGATGGTTGTGAGAATTCCTATCATATCTCCATTACGTTCATCACAATCAATGAGTCACTATCAACCATTAATTGTCTTATATTCATATTCCTACAAATCAATAACTCATAATAAAATATGTTATTTTAAAGAAAAGCTGAAAGTATTTTCATTTAATTAACGTTAAAAGTTTTAAGTAATTTATCAATCTTAGTCTCATTTTGTTTTTATAATTAAAAAAAAAAAAGTCACAAACAATGTAATAAACAATAATTTAATAAATATTATTTTTAATGAAAAATTAATTAATTTTCTATGTTACATGGTTTATTATGTTATTTACAAGCCAAAAACTAAAGTCAAATGAATGAAAATGGTAACAAAAAGTGAAATTTTTCCTACTCCGTATTGAAAACATAAAACTAGGCTTATCCACGCGTGCATCTAGCAAAAAAATGTAGATTAGTAGACAGCATCATTAAAATGAAGACCATGCATCTAACAAAAAGAGAATGTACTATTAGAAGGCAGCATCATTAAAATGAAGACCGCCATCAGTACATGTGTAAACTAAAATGATATAACTGTCATCATTTGAAATATATACAATGATACATTCCATGACCCATAAATAAAACTTAAAAAGTGCAAGACAAAGGTTGTTAGATTAGAGGATATGCTCTATATTTTTATAATTTTTTTGTGTACCAGGGTTTCCACTGTCAGACGGACTAATCCCCTCTTGAATTGTAAGCACCTTTTTCGGATGGCTAAATTCCTCTTTTGGATGGGACAACTAACCTAGAGATTTAAGACTACTCCATATCCAAAGTCAATTATCAAAACCTTAACCTCTAATTAAGGATTGTTGAATCTCTTCCACTCAACCACACCCCGAGTTAAAGGATATGCTCTATGTATCCATCTAATGTGTTATGCTTCCGGAAATAATCTTAATTAAGTTGATTGAACTTAACTTAATAATCACAAAGTATAAGTTTAATTTCCAACGGAACAACCAAATAACCTTTTTGTTGTCAGTTATAGGGTCACAATGGAGATTTATCAAGTAACCAGTGCACACCTTCAAGGAATGATTGTGAATTTTTCCCGACAAAAAATATGTTTCCCAATTAAATATTTTTCTCCGCATGAAAATTAAACAATACACAGAAGTTCAAAATTTAAATGTTCAATGACAATCATTAATAACCCATAAGTCGGAGTTGGGGAAGATGTATGATGTACACAAGCGTGGATCAAAAAAACAATATGCTATGTTCATCCTTGAAAATCAGTACAAAATGCAACGATGCACCAAAGTGTTTGCTTTTGAAGAATATCCTCAACTTTGCTGCCTAGCTGCAAAAATTGCTTCTAAAAGAATATTACAAAGAAAAAAGAAAAAAGAAAAAGATATATCAACACCCTATAGCACAACAAAGAACCGTTTATTTTAATACTAACTTCCAACTTAACCATTGAACAATGAACTACTTTCCAAGAATGAGATTAAAAGCTGACTCAAGACTTTAAGAGAAAGAAATCCCAAATCCAAAAATGCCCGTACTGTTCACTTCCAACTTCCACTACCACTATAGAATGCCGACTCATCAATATGAACCCATGGGTGGTGGCATGCCAAATGGTGGCATAGGAGCCATTCCCATTCCCATACCCCCCATGGAAGGTGGTGGGGCAAAACTTCCTCCAACGCCGGGGCCTCCCATACCTGGCATTGGTGGTGCTGGCAAAGCAAGAGGCAGCAGCTGTGCATACATATTCTGCAAGTGAAGGAAATGTGTGGAAGAAAATGTCAAATGATATGGCATTGCTGCATTGGCAATGTTGTTAGGCAGTGCATTTATCAAACAAATACCTGCTGCTTAATAACGTCCTTCTCTTCATCCTGTTTAGCCTTTGCCTCATTTTGAGCCTCAAGTTTACTTTTGATTAGTTCATCAACTTTTCCAGTATATTCACGGATGAACTGCAAGGAACGGAACCAAGTAAAAAGATTGCTTACATTTAATATTAAAAAAACAAAACAAAAAAACAAAAAACAAAAAAAAAAAACCGCATTTTCACAAGCAAGTATAATCCTAAATATATTTTATTTATTTTTATTCTATCTCCCCTTCAGAACAGTTGATATAATATAGAACATATGATGGGGAAAATTATCAATATGTTAAAAGGAATAACCATAACCACACTATTATTCTATTAATGGACATAATCCAAGCACATTACATCATCAGTGAAATGCATGTGTATGGACACAAATCAAGAGGCTAAAAGATGAATCAATAAACATCCAGTTACATACAACTCTTAAAAAATAGTCAAGTATAGAGAAAACATAAAAAAGGGGTTTTGTTGGGGGGTGAGAGCGAGATTGGTCACCTGCAACAGGTAAGGGAATGCAAAGTCAATCATGTTATTCATCCAAGCTAGCTCTAGAGCAACATCAGGGCGAATCAAATCGTAACAGACAAAGAGGCATGATGCAAAACATTCCTTCTTTCCCTGCAAAAAGCATACCGTTCACAATGCTTAGATAGACAGTCAATTTTGATGTCTTTTCTCAAGCAAGGGACTTTGTTCATAAATGAATAATGAGAAGTAACCTGTTCAATGAAATAAACAAGCAACTCCTCTGCAAGTTCACGATCCCCAGATTGTGAGGCAGTCTCCATGGCATCTTTGTAAAGATTATCTTTTTTGGAGAGCGCAATGGATTGCTTCCATCGACCTGCCTTTTTATAGATATAAGCAGCAACACGCCTCATCTCAAGAAGTTCATGTTTCTCAATCTGAAAGGATAGAAAGGAATATAAAACCACTGTTAGGTTGTATAGAAATTGCTTTTCAGTTCACTTACAGAAAGAAAATGTAAGAAATTAAAATTCACCTTCTGTGCAAGGCCAATCTGATCAAAGTTATCATGCAACTCAATAGATTCGCGTAGCCTTTCATAATCTTCCTCCTCAGCATATATCTCATTAAGGGCTTCATTAACAGCTGAAACATTGTTGCTCTGAACAGCTACCATGTATGGCTTCACTAAACGCAAGTGACCAGCCTGAAATCCACCAAGAGTAAAAATACTTGAGCAAGATAATAAACAAATATTCAAATGAAATTAAGAATGGACTAAGGAGAGTCCCTTTTACCTTTCTCATAATGTCCACAACACGTGTGTGGTCCACTTTTAGTGCAAGAACATTCAGGACATCATTAATGAGATCAGGGTGCTCTTGCAAATAGAAATGCACAGCCTTGTAATACAACTCCACGCTGGCTACTTTGACAATGATATCTTTGAACTGCATGTGATCCCAAGCATCCGGGGAATGATTCATGACAGTAGTCGCAGCATTATCAAATTCATCATATTGGATATATAGATAGGTTAGTTCCTTCCAGTGCTGCTGCTCATCACATGCTCGAATAAGTTTGGGTATGTTAAGACGGGTGGAGAATAATTTAATGTGTTCCATGAGTTTCTCATGACGGTATCTTGCATATAGTACTCCAAGCTCAGTAAAGATACCCATATGTGCACGTTCCAATCCTAGTCCACTTTCCATGAGAGAAATTAATTCATTGAAGCATCCCCTGTTTTGATAGTATTCACTTACTTCTTCTAAGTCATCCACCTGTCACATAGAAATAGAAAGGTGCATTATTAGTACTCCAGAATACTTCCTTTCCGGTAATTTAAGTGAGCAAAATTAGTTCTTCACTTCTTCAGCTGAAAACAATTTACTCCAATAAAATTTAACTAGGATATAATGAAATATATGTACCCAAAACAATGATATAACAATCTACCTGCACTATAATATTAAGCCCACAAATCTGAGCCAGTCGGAACTCTTCGGCATCAACACAAGCAAAGCAGACTTCTTTCCATGTCTTTGCACTATTTGCCTTGCGTGCAGCATCAACTGCACCTTGAAATTGATTCAACTTGACTAGTGTGATAGCTAATTTGCCCCAGTTAGAGATAAATGCAAATATGATCTTTGCAGCCTCATATAAACCTTCATCAAACAAACGATCACCAACATTGGGTAGATTAGCAACATTCGGCATGAGAATAAATTCTTCAATTTCACCCAGCCGATCTATTTTGGCATATGCAAAGATAAGTTCACTGTCAACCTTAGGCTCCTTCGTCTTCTGCCTAACCATCAACAGATACTTAACCAAGTCATGGTAAACTTCTGTATCCTCAGCGGCACGAATTACTTCCAAAAAATGGGTAGCATCTTCTGCACGGATGAACGACTCAATTGCATCACTGACTAATCCCTCTCGAAGTTGAGCTTTAGCCACTTGACTCCACACAGCATCTTCTTCAACACGGAATGCAAACTCTACAGCACGGTTTATGTCTCGAATGTTATCTAGTAAAACATTAACTGCCTGGACATTCAAGTTGAACTTCTTGAAGATTGCAAAAGCCTCTTCATACAGTTGGGCCTCAACAGCCACTTCACCAACTGCAGGTCCATCAAAATTATCAAGCCTATTAATATAGTCCATAACTCTGGATGGATCTGCTTTAATGGCTGTCAAGATAAGCAAATTCTGAAGATTAAAGTTCCCACTGAATGCGGAATTTTGGAGAACAATCTTTTCAAGAAGTTCAATTAATTCATGTGGAAGATCAGCAGTCATGAAAGCTTTAACAGCAGCAGACACTTGTTCTGGGCTCTTGCTTTCAGACAGAGCAGTAGATACAACCTGGTCAATAAGCTGCCTTCTGAACTCATTTTCAGGGTTGAGAACTTTCTCCCAAAGATCAGCATCCATCCTTTCAACTACATACCTATAAAAAGTATACACTCATAAACATCCAGAATTTGGACTAAACCAAAAGTCATGGCGGAAAATAACTAAACAACAAACCTGGCCTGAAGCTTGAACAAAGAGTTCTTGTTTGTTACATGAATAAGCTCATCATCACACTGTCCTCTCCTATATGCAACAACAGCAAGGGTAGGATCACGCTTCTCACAATATTTACCCACTACACGTGAGTCATAATATGGATTGGTTGTGAGGAAGTGCTCTGGATTGTTGTTGCTATCGATTATAATTTTACCCAGAGCATTGTGGACATGAACATCTTGGCTTCCTTCACTCACAAGATGCTCCAAAAATTGAGTGAGCAAACGAAGCCGGTTCCTGAAATTCATAAGAAAAGATGTGGACATAAAGCTAACAAGGATCAAGTAAAAAAATGACAGTAAGGCAGAACCATAACCTTTTTTCACATTCCTCAACAAGGGGCTCAACAGGAAGAAGAGAACGGACAGATAGGATCAAGCCTTTAATGAAATCTTCAGGGCATTCATCATCCAGCAGCTGTCCAACAACTAAAGGAGCATTTCCTGGATTGACCTATCCATAAAAAATAGAGCTTGAAATTGAACACAGGCACACAGCTAGAAAATACGCACAAATCATAAGAGTCCTAAACAGAAGTAATACCTTTTGGACATAACCTTCAATATATCTGAGCATATTGCTCGTGTACAGATAGTGAGTGAGGTCTGGAACAAACCCAAAGCGGTCACATACATTAATCAAAGGCCGAGCATCAGGAAGTTTGGCTTCCATCAAAAAGTTCTTAGTTTTCTCAGGGTCATAGAAGTTAGACTCTCTTGTAACACGTTCAACCTCCTTGATTTGTCCAGTCTTAGCTGCTGCCTCAATGTACTTAAAATGGATTTCAGGATCCTCGCTGCAGTTCACATGTCAATACATTAACCAGCAAGTACTTTAAATAGCCAGTAATAGGTAATAATGATATTGATCATCACACAGTGGCAAATCCTACAATTTCTCAGATACACACCTTAAGCTCAAATATGATCCTAGAAAGAAATACAACCCATCATATGACTTAAATTGCTCAAAAAGCTTTATGCATGCATCCAGACCCAACTGTTCACAGTATTCCTTTGCAACCTGCCAACAATACAAGCAAGATTATTATTCCAATGAGGATGTGTCAAGGTTCTATAATTTTCAAAAATTCAATATTGCAACTTCTTTACATGTCTCTAGGTTAACCCAGCTCTTTTTCATGAAAATGTAAATTAAGACTCCAGGATACCTGAACAATTATCTGAAGGTTGCCTTTGAGATTGATCAACAAAAGGTCCTTCATGCACTCCAATGCCCACTCACGTGAAAGAGTCCCAAAAAATTCAACCAAAGACTGAAAAGTAAATCAAGGAGTTAAGTAGGTGCAATAATCTCCATTAGAATGGAAGTGTGTAAAACATACTATGACCAACCTGAGGCTCAATTGCATGAGTATTGACAATGACACGCTTTATGTCAGGCAGTTCAGTGTAGTGCTGCAGTGGATTAATTTATCCAACAGGTTAGGCAGTTAGCCAATCAAACTGAGATATCAGTAAACACTTAAAGCCTATATATAAAACCTGCAGTGCTCGGATATAAAGACCAGCTTTTTCACAAAGTTGACCAATTCGAGGACGGTCATAATGACTAAACATTCCGTTTGCCAAAATTGCATCCGCCACATTTGGGAAAGTAACAAGGTTGATCTCCAAGACCTGCATAGAAGAGAGAAGTTCTGATGGATAAAGAAAATACCTAAAGTGAGACAAGCTTCTTAGTAATTAGTGAAAAGAAGGCACCAACCTTTGTTTGCAGATAAGCATGCTCTGGCAAGTTGGGTTTCAGAACATCCAGTAAAAATGCTGTGGCCTCGCGGATCATGTTCCTCTGATTTACAAAAATAAAAAATAAAAATAAAAAAAGAGAATCTCATTCATGAACTCAAATGCTGACCACAGAGTAGGGCAAAACTTTTCAAATATGTGCAGATTCAATTATGTAACACGTGAAGTCAAACTAACCTGAAGAAAAAGATCTGTTATTGTGTTGTAATCAACTGGACAGCCTCCCTCCATTTGAGACATCATGAGGGCAAAATTCACAGCTCCCTGCAAATACCATTTGTGTAAATCTCTTGCCATAACATGAGTCCCACATGCAGTAGCATCATGTTTATTAATGCTTCATCAAAGAAAAGGCTACTCCCCAATAATGTGAATGCAGAAATATTATGTAATAACACAAGGCATAAGAAGACTGACAATCAAAAGAGTAACTCAATTAAGATTTACATATACAGTTTGCCAAGAAAAACATGGCACAGGTATGCAACTATGCAAGTGATATGTCCAACTCACTAGCAGCAACATACCTGAGGATCTGATCGGAGAATTGTTTGCAGAAGGAAAAGATAGTCAGGTGTATATCCAACCTGCCAACATAACATAAACATCTTACATTATCCAACTGATGGAAAATAAATAAATAATTATCTTCCATCCAATGACAAGATAAAACTCAGATTTCACCCTGAGAATAGACAAAAAGAAATATGGGGAAAATATGGAAATGGCATCAACAACTGTGTCACTGACCTGCTTAGAGTAAATCAAAATCTTGTCAAATTCTCTGCGTTCAGCAAAAGCTGCAACAACCTTTGGTGTTGCTCTTGCTTTGATATATATTTTCAATGCTAGGTTGTTATCCACAGTCTACAAGAAAATTCTTTACTGTTAGAATCAAACAAAAAATGAATTGCTACAAAGAAAAATCCATTCAGAATAATGTCTGTAAAATTGTAACCTTCACAAGGTCCCCAAGTTCCTCACTACACTCCAGCTTATCCTCAGCCAACCAATTCTCCAATAAATTCTTCTTATTCTGGTTTACAACAAGGCGTGAAAGTTCCAATGACTCAAAAGCATTGAGCTTCCCTCTAGTCAAAAGCGTTCCAAAGTACTGGAGCAAAGGAGGTGTTTGCCCTGCTTGAACAGGAACACTCTACAAAGAACAGAAGCACATAGTATACATTGTTCTGATCTATTATTTTTCACATGGAATATAGTCCAGAAGGGTAAAAATAGAAACAAATCTATGGTAGCATAGCCAATACCTGAAACTTGGCAACAGTATCAGGAGTGCGGAGAATGCCTTGTGGGGACTCTGCAGCAAGCTCAGCAGCCTCTTTATATTTAGTTTGAGCAAATAACTCTTGAAAACGTTGGACCACCTGATACATTATAAGTACAGTGAATGTAAGAACATTGGCTGCTAAAAAACATGGTGATAAGAAGCTCCATAGTCATATTTCTCACAACCATAGCCACCATCTGAGAAGCAATTCCCTAGGCAGAACTTGTGATTGCATTTAAAGAAATTCAGGAGGACAAGGAGGGGGCACTGCAGAGAGGTTGACTTTTTTACTAAGCCATATACTTAGAGTAATATGCACATTATTCTACAATTGTGGACCTATTGAGTATTGAAACAAAATAAAGGCAACACATCCACCCACCAAGAAGTAATAGAAAATCAGAAAGACAGCAATAATCATATAACAAATTACCAAGTTTTCAGCACCAGGAAGGTTTCCTCTTTTGGCAAGATTGACAGCAAGTTCCAGATTATTCAACTGCCAAACATTTTAAATTTGCTCAAGTAAAAACTTATTATAAAAAGAAGTCCTAAAGTAAAATTTACTTCACAGAAACAAAAGGACTAGACCTACTTGTCCACTGACAAAAGGCACTATTGTTGCTTCATTTACTGTGGCAAGCAACACCTGACCTCGCCTATTGATGGCATAGAAACCCCCCACTGAAGAAGCTTCTGCAGTCAAAAAAATGGGGTCTGGGCTGATCCTATTTCTGTACACCGCAGTTGCTGTCTCCAGGTCATATACAAATAATAGCCCAAGCTTTGTAATCACATAAATTAAACTGTATCGCTGTGATATCTGCCAGACACAAAATATGCAAGTTACTATTAGAACTTCCGAGAATAGGTATACCAATAAAGGGGAGTGGGGCAAGAGATACCTGCATTGCAACTGGAAAATCGTCAGCAAAATCTGGGGGAAAGAAAAGATCTGCTTGTTTCTTAGTAAAGGATGGTTTTCCTGTAAAATAAAAATAAAAATAAACCTTAGTCATTTATATAGAAAATGTAAGAAAATAATAATTGAACAGACAATAAGAGTCTACTCTTTTTTTTTCTTCTTAAATTTAAAATTTTTAAGAGGAAAATAGGAAACAGTAGTACAAATTGATTTTATTTCAGAAACTTGTGGCAAATAATTCTTTTTAATCAGGTAATATCATGAGCAAAGTTGGTACATAATCTTCATGATTGAATAAAATGTGGGAATTAAAAGACCTGGCTGTGCTCCTAGCTCAATGATGTGCAGTTTTGATGTAACCTGGCCAGCATTTGAGGTCTTTGTTGCAAATGAAATGAGCACAGAATCCTTATCATTTCCTGCTATCTGTTTAAATTAAACACCAATTATGACAAAAAAATATGGCAGCAGAGTCAATAAAAGATTTGTGCCAAGGAGCTTCTCTCACTCGAAATGAGGCAAATGATGCAGCATGGGCTTCAAGAGCTTGACTACGTTGCTGATCCACTGAGAATAGTTGCATATTTCCTTTGACAAGTTGGGGCTTCTGTTAACACAAACAAAAAAGGGAATACTAAAACCAGTAAACCACAACACATATAGGCTCTTTACAAAATGGAAACCAGAAAGCATATCAATTAGATAAATGGTTTCAAATTCACTATCAAAATAAACTTAAAAGACCAATGGAGGATTTTAAAAAGATGGGAAGGTGAGTACAAATGTGGACAAGAACAAGGCAGAAAGATGAGTAAAAGAATACATGAAATTGAATAAAACAAGAATCAACTTGATTAAAAAAAGCATGAATTATGACCAAATACTTCTTGAACCTTCCATCGAGAGGCACTACTGCACTAATATCTAAACATCCAAGCATTTGAAGAAATGTTATAATATCTTAGCTATACACAATAGCAGGGTGGAAACTTCAAAAGTATCAGATAGACAGCTCATGTAAATGACTATAAGGTAACGATGAAATCCAGCGGGTTATTGACTTGAATGGGCAAAACCCAAGTGGAGTGGACAAAGTTGGGGAATTTTTAAAACTTAGATATTTTTAGGCAAAACTCCTTTGGGACTTGCATTTGTTGTCAGAAACGCAAGTCCCAAAGGAGTTTGTTCAATTTCTTAAAATCTTTTTTTAGCGTAAAATACGAGATTTCTTAAAATCTTTTTTTAGCGTAAAATACGAGAAAAGCACGTATTTGTACACGTAAAATACAAGAAATGCAAGTACAACTTGCGTTCCTCGTATTTCGCGCTAAAAAATGACGCATAAAATACGAGAAACGCAAGTGGGACTTGCATTTCTCGTATTTCACGCTTAAAAATGATTTTAAGAAATTGAAGAAACTCCTTTGGGACTTGCGTTTCGGACGACAAACGCAAGTCCCAAAGGAGTTTTGCCTAAAAATATCCAAGTTTTTAAAATTGCCCATCTTTGTCCACTCCACTTGGTTTTTGCCCATTCAAGTCAATAACCCGAAATCCAGCACATGGTCATATGAAAACTATAGTACCATAACATTATAACAGCTACCTTATTATGCTACATAATTTACAGAACAAGAAGGATAATGCAAAGTTGAGAAATTTAAGGAAAAGCTTAGCGAAGAAAAATAAATGAAAAATTAAATTCCAAACTCCAGGTGTTGTGTTCCTCATTTACTGAACCAAATGACAATGAAGTGATAAACTTTTATTAGGAAGTAAAAACTTATAATTTAAAAATAATAATAATAACAACAACAACAACAACAACAAAGCATAATCAATTTACACACACCTCTGGGGAACCAGGAGCAATTCCAATCAAAACCAACCATTTCTCTGCAGGATCACAGCGGTAATTGATAATTTGATTGTTGGTCAAATTTGCTGCTCTATCAAACATCTTTACGGGCTCAGAATCACCTAAGAAAAACACCTCATGAGTTACTTTAAGCATGGAAGATCAATAAGTAAACTACAGAGATATGAGGGCACCATTGGTGAGAATAAAGGAGTGCATTACCTTCAATTGGCCAATGATAAACTGAGGTCTGGGTGACTAGACCTAACATCTTTGGAGAAATCCACTTCCAGAATACAACCTAGACAGAAAGAGTATGGATACTTAACACCGCACTATAATGGTTCAAATTGGGGAATATGGTTTATAAATGTATTCAGTTCAAAAAACAAAATCAAATAAATTGATTAAAAGAAGAAACCAATACCTGCTCAGGCATCTGATGTGATTTCACTTTTTGCTTTGCCTCAATGTTGAATATTTGTAAATGATCTTGAGTGGTTCCAGGAACTTGGGCTTCATTAAAAGGGGGAAGCGAATTGTCAATTAACACATTTAAGAAGGTCCTTGTAGCCATAATAATCATAAGTACACCAAAGGAATTAAATGCAATTCTTCTCATGTAAGGGGAAAATGAGTAAAAATAACTGCTTATTTTGTAAAGTAGGTAATAATAAATACTGTGATAAATTAATAACAGCATATCTGTAGTGCACATATGCATACATAACAGTGTAACATATACAACAAAAAAAGGAACAAAATTTATTTTGCATACCCAAACGGCATGATCTAGACAAGAACACATCAGTAGAAAACACCTTTGTGGCTAAGAGAGTACTCTCCTAAGTCTCCCGAGCAAACTAGCCTGTTTCAACTTCACTTCAAACTCTAAGCAATTCCGACCAGGCGCTCACAATGAGACTCAACAAATTCATATCCCTACTCCCTAACAGCAGCCATGATGTATTACAATAATTTTTTCCCTCCAATAAGCACTAAAGTTTACATGACACAACATGCGCCTGGGCTTTTCCAAGTTTAAAGGTGATTTTCCTCTCAATTTAAAGTTTCTCCTACACATCCTAATCAGGAGGAGAGGAAAAACAAAAAACAAAACAAAACAAAACAAAACAAAAAAAAAACAAAACTAATACGGAGTACATGTGAACTCAACTCTAAACAATTCAGTAACTTGCAGAGTTACCGAGACTTTTGTGAATTGAATAAATTATGAGCAAATATAACATACCTTTCAATGCCAAAATTCTTGAGTTGGGATTCATGATAGCCGAGTCTGCAGTAATGGGCCGCCTCAACGGCTGCATAGGCATATTCATATCAATGATCACCACACTATTTTGGGGTGCTGTCTCTCGAACACAAATATACTTATCAGATTCCATGGTGACATTAGTAAATGTGATGAACTGTGGATTGACCCCTATGCTTGATAACTGCAATACAACATCACATCATAAGAACTTCCAATCCCAGAGACTAAACCATTCACGTTGAATATCCAATTCCGAAATTCAGTTGGTAACAGATCTCAATATGAACTACGCATCATGGATCTGACCTAAAGGATGTTTCAAACATGATAGCTGATAAGCTAACAAAATAACCAATAAACCCGCAGAACAATTTATGTCAACAATATTCACCAGAAATGAATTCGGAACCAGACATAATCAATACAAAACATATTGTAATCGAGAAGCGTAATCCAAATTCAACTAAAAATGTTATGCCAGAAAAGTGATTCAGAGTTCATTAAAAAAAAAAAATGCTCAATCAGAGTATAACAGATAAGTGGTTACAGTAAGGGCCTCCTTCATAGTGATCGGGGCGTTAGCAGCCGCCATGGCTGAGCTGAGACCGAATATCCGAGATCGGAACTACGGATCTGTGAATCACTGGAAGCCAATATGCAGGAAATGACAACGCAAGCAGCTTATCCCAAGCCAAGCCCTCCGAGATAAGAACAGTATAGATGAAGAGAAGAGATCTAGGAAGAGAGGAGGGTTCTCTCCAGAAGAGAGAGATAGAGAGAGCGATGGCTACGTAATTCTAAAAGCTTGTAATGTAGTGAGCTTAAAAATCCTCGACGCCAGCTACAATGGAATTTTCCACTGCAAAGTTAGAGAGAGAAAGAGATCTACATCTGAGGAGAGAAAGAGTGCAACCAAAAAGGGTCTGCATGAGTTGGGCTTGGTGCGATCTATGGGCTCACCGGTCGGAACTAGCTCGGAGCGCTGGTTCGGATGGTTGAGCTCAGATGCTCAATAAAAATTCCTTTAATACCTTCCTTTTTTAGTAATGTCGACTCGACTCTATTACAAGATTGTATATATTCAATATATTTTTTCTATTTATTGTAGTCTAAGGAATTTGATCCTGTGACCTTCTCTTAATAAAAGTAACAGAAATGACAACTGAGCACATGGTGTTTGGCTAATACGTTCTCATTATTATAATATAATTTTTTTAAAAGCATTATTATAATATAATTAAACTATTTTATACTTCTGGCCTAAGATATTTAATTAACTCTATATGGAGTGCTCACAAAACTGTTAAAATTGTATGGATCCATTTAGTAAAAATTTACATTTAAATTGAAGGTAAATTTAGCTTTTCAAAAGCTTTTAAAAACTTATTATATCCAATATGCTACAAAAATGATTTATGTATATAAATAGTCCAATTCATTAGATAATTATATAGGGGATTTTTGACAAATTGTTGATAGTGATTAAGTTAGCTGATAACAGACTGAGTTAACTGGTTTAACAAACTAACAGTATTAGCGGGTTGTAAAAAGATGTTTGGTAAATTAGTTTTTACTATTAGTTAATTGTATGTAAAATGACATATAATGACATGAATATATTGTGTTAATTTATTAACTCTTAAATTACTTTTACCATAACAAGGATCGTGTGGTCCAATGGCACCAATTTGCTCCCTTATATAGTTTATTGATTACAATGATGGGTAAAATAAAAATAAATAAATAAACATTATTATTGTTGTTACGTAAACATAAAGAAAAAGGAACAAAGCAAATGAACAACAACGAGATATAAATGTTAGGGAAAATGGTCAAATGCACACCTAAACATTATTAGGCCCACAAACTTAAGAAGAAGAAAAATTCAATTAAATATTTGACTTAATAAAATCAATCAAATAGGCCCACTTAACATGTAACCAATAACTTACCAGTAACTATACCATCGTTAACAATCATCATCGACGTTGACCTCCATCTTCAACAGTAATCCAAACAAAAAAGACATCGAAAACTCAAAACGGCCGCCAGCGGCCTCCTTATCTACGAAGAAAGCGATGTTGGGTGCCTTCTTCAATTGAGGAAGAAGATGACCGGAAAACGATCGCCGACTGCCGATTTAACAATGTGATGTTGAATTATTGGCTATTACCAAAAGTATGTCATTTTGTGACTTTCAATTTTCTTCACAAGTGCATTGTATGTACATGCCAATTATAGTGGCATACCTTCTAAATTTTTTCGCAAAATCATAAATAACTTTGGTATTGTATGTACATAATATGGCAATTATAAATTAATAAAATTGATATATTAAGTCCATAAATAAATAAATAAATAAAAACTTTTAAAATTATATCATATATCATAATAATCATGATTACATGCCAAACACTTATTTAAAACCACAAATTTGCACTAATAAATAAAGAAAAATGACTACTAAACCAATACAATATGTTTTTTTAAAAATACTCATGATTCTTTATAAAGTACTATCTGTTCCATACTTTTCAAACATTTTTAGCACAAAGAATCTAAGCCCTCACCGGAGTTCAAACCTATCACCATTCATTTGGATGGATAACTGAGATATCATTACACTACATGGTAGTTGTCATAAACTCAATACAATATGTTCAAAAGATATACAAACGCAATACTACGAATTCATAAACTCAATATATTAACTTCATACACTATTCTACAACATACGTTATGGACATAATCAATTTATGAACTTATAACATTATGTTTATTTATTTGCAATTCACATATTATGAACTTATAATATGGTTAAAATTATAAGTAATTTCAGGGAAGTTGGTTTGATAACCACAAGATTTCAAATTGGCTTATTGAGCGAACTACCTACTGATCTTATTAGTTTGAAATAATCCCTCATTATAGTCATATGATGGTAACATGAGGGGTGTGGTTGAGTGGGATGAACTCATCCATCATTAATCAAAGGTCAATGGTTCGATCATTGTCTTTGGGTGTTGAGCAATCTTAAATCTCCATGCCACCAGTTGTCATACCCAATATAGGTGCCTACAATTCAGTGAGAAGATTAGTCACTGTGTCCGACGGTGGAAACCCTATATTACACCCCAAAAAAAAAGTGTCATATGATGATTAGAGTTATAATAACTGATTCCTCACTGTAGTCATTTGATGGTTAAGGCAACAATGCAAGTTTCACCAATAGCATAAATTTAGATAGTGGTTGCATGTTTTGTCATAAATCAAAGAACATGATGATGGCGGAGAGCTGAGCGATTATTAGAGGCATGAGATGATCGAGCATGGGATAATGGGTGGCGTAAGCTAGAAATTCAGAGCGATTAAAAGAATGTTATAAAATGGATTAAAGGACCAGACTTATCGGAATGCCCGATGAGAAATATTATTGAGTGTAAGATATGGAATAACAAATATTGGGAGATCTCCCTCCGCCATATTTATTGTGAACAAAATGCAGTTGTGGACTAGTTGGCTAAATTGACAATCGTGAGTAATGAAGAGTGGATTGAACTCCAGAGCCATCAGAAGGAGGTGGAAAATGCGCTCCTTGATGACGGTGCAGGAATAATGTGGTCAAGAACATTCATAATGGACTATCTACCGTTGCTTGAGTTTCAACCTTCTATATTGATTCAAAAAGAATAGGGGAAATGATCAAATATGCCATTAAACTTTTAAACGAAAGTGAAATTATACCCTTGAACTAACAAAATAAAAGTGCAATTAAACACTCATTTGTCAAAATGAATAAATTAAGTCAAATTTACCGGTAACCAATAGGTTACTAGTAAAATTATCGCCATTGGCCATAGTTATCATTCGTTGACCGCCCTAACCACCATTTGCCGCCGCCATTTAAAGAAAAAATCAACCGTCGGCAATTGAACGACTGTCTTATCTACTAGAGAAGACGAGTGACTTTCCGGTTGCACAGACTGGTATTCTATACTGGAGAAGTCAACTGATTGGTCTCTTCCAAACACGTAAAATTAGATAAATCAAAGGTCGGATCTCTGGTTTTACCCCTCGTCATAGTCAGTCCACGCCTTTCCACGAGAATGGTGAGCAGTTCACTCCCACTCGCTTGAGTCAAATCGTTGATTGGTCTGGTCAATGGGGTTTTAGCATCGTCGTCTAAGGTGGACGACCAAAATCTATATCTGAAATCTAGAGCTGGACATGTTGAATATGAGAAAAATAGTCGAACAACAAAGCAAGGCCACTAGAAAATCAACTAAAAATACACATAACATGTATAAATTGAAAAATGAAAGAAATAACGAGATAAATCTCTCATGCACAAGAGAATAGGTCACAAAATCACCAATCTAAATCTTAGAGCAGTTGGGATTTTTTGATGGAAAAAATACCCGGGAATCGGTTCAGCCACCGCATTAGTATATATGCCATCGTCGTGCCCGATTCCACCACATCAATAATAGAACCATCACGACTGAGTGAAGAGAGTACAAAATCATTGGTTAATTTTTGTTTTCTTCAATGGCAGTCACCGGTAGTTGTCGCTGAAATTTCTGTCGAAATTTTCACCGGAACCCTAATGACCGATCATTCTAAGTGGATGGCCGACAATTGGGCACATTTTCAAAGTTGAAGGACTTAATTGTACTTCCGTGTAAAGTTTAAGGATCCATTTGACCATTTCCCTAAAAGAACATGGTTAAAATTAAAATTATTTGACATGATAGATTTAAATATAGTTATCAGATGTATAATTTGTGAATATTAAACCGGCCGAAAACATCACCACAATTTCCAGGTAGTATTCGAGGGCAAATTACGGTCCAAAACATCGTCGGAATATTATGAGTAAAAATAATGTACATTATGTGTTAGAATAATGTACATTACGTGTTAGAATAACGTAATTATGTATTCAAATAATGAATATTATATGTTTAGAATAATGAAACATCTGAGGTAACATACTGTACATTATGTTTTAAAATAATGTACATTATGCTTTAGAATAATGTACATTATATTTTTACAATAATTTACATTATGTATTATAAAAAATGTATGTTGTAACTGGGCGCACGAAAAATTAAAATTAAATAAAACAATGTCATTTTTAGACCGTGGTTTATACATCTGTGTAGACCATAGGTCCATGCAATAACTAGTGGATGTCGGGCCAGGCCTCTCTGTCGTCCACGGAGTGGGCTCACTGCTCATATCCATTAAATTTAACACGAGTACACGAAGGAAAAAATTTGAACGAACGCGCGCAATTCAACACATGGCGCATAAATGCTGACTGAAGGAGCCTAGGGTTTATGCTCAAAGTAGAAACACAGTGAACTCTTTGCACTAACTCCAAGTCAAAACCGAAGAAAAGAGCGGGAGTGACGACCACATTTCTGGCTAAGACGGTGATTTGCATCGGAAGATGTCTATCGGCGTCCGCGAACTCTGCGTTCTAGGAGAGTTCAAGCCATTGGGATTGGTCGCCGAAGCTCTAGATGGCAAATCCGCCGACAATTTCTCTGGCGATTACAGTTACTTCCTCTTCAGTCCAGAAGTCACCAAGCAAAGAGAAGTGGCCGACGACTTCAATGCAGCTTCGCCGTCCAGTGATCGGAGCGATCACGAGCTTTTTGTTAGAGGAAACCGGTAATTTCAGCTCGTATACATTTCCTAGCAATCCGTTTAAGGACACCAAAGCATGTACTTCCAGTCTTTGCACTGCAGAACACGTGGTTCAGAATTATTTAGAGGCTCTTGTTTGTGCTTGGTGACCAAGTCAATCCTGCATTGTAGCATTAATTCCCAATTTATTTTTTGGCAAAGTCAACAATTTGACTTGAATTTGGTGAAATTGTGTTAGGATAATATGGAGCATAGGCTC